TATTGAGAGTGGGGTCTTGAAATCAGCAGCTGTAATTGTAGATTTGTCTGTTTCTCTGGAATTTGTCAGTTTTTGCTTTATGTATTTTGTTGCTCTATTATTTGATGCATAAGTATCGGATTGGCCAAAAGGTTTGTTTACGTTTGTTTGGAAAATCCTGAACATACCTTTTGACCAACCCAGTATTTATGATGTCTTCTGTACTTTTTTTTTTGTTTTGTTTATTTTACAGATCCTCTGTGCTCCTGATGGGTTGATTTCTTTTTCATATGAAATGACTTTCTTTGTCCCTTGGGATGTTTTTTGCTCTGCATTCTAATTTGATGTTACGTAAGCCTTGTTAGCTTTCTTTTGACTAATTTTCAAACACGTTACATCTTTTTCTCTGATTTTACATTTAGCATCTTTATGTCTTTATAGTTCATTTCTTGTTGGGCTTTCCTCGTAGCTCAGCTAATAAAGAATCTGCCTGCGGTGCAGGAGACCCTGATTCAATTCCTGGGTTGGGAAGGTCCCCTGGAGAAGGGATAGACTACCCACTCCAGTATTCTTGGGCTTCCCTGGTGACACAGCTGGTAAAGAATCTTAAAGAATCTGCCTGCAATGTAGGAGACCTGGGTTTAATCCCTGGGTTGGGAAGATGCCCTGGAGAAGGGAACCACTACCCACTCCAGTATTCTGTCCTGGAGATTTCCATGGACTGTTCGTTTCTTGTAGTTGAATTTTGCTTTTGTATCCATTTGATGATTTCTGCCTATTAATTCAGGTGTTTAGACTATTTATATATATTGTGATATAATTAGATTTGAATCTGTAATTTTCCTGTTTGTTTTCTCTTCATCTTATATCTTTTTTGCCCTCTTTTTCTTCATCTGACTTCTTTTGGATTGCGTATTTTTATGATTCCATTTCATTTCTTTAGTTGTGTACTTTCTGTATTTTCAGTGGTTTCTTTGGCTTTGACAGCACACATTTTTTTTAAAAAATATTTAATTAATTAATTAATTTGGCTGTGTCCAGTTTTTATTGCAGCAGATGGAATCTTCCATTGCTGTACAGAGGCTCCAGATTCAGTAGTTCAGTAGTTGCAGTGCATTGCCCCACAGCATCTGGGATCGTAGTTTCCTGAGCAGGGATTGAATCCACATCCCTTGCATTGCAAGGTGTATTCTTAACCACTGGACCACCAGGGAAGTCCCAGCAGCATACATCTTTAGTTTATCTACCTTCAAGTGATATTATGCCACTCCTGTAAGAACTTTATAGTAGTTTATTTACATTTCTCCCCATCCTGTCCTTTCTGTTAAGAGTTTTCATACAGTTTACTTATACTTGTTATAAATTCTTGTTATTATTTTTCTTTAATTAGTTATCTTAAAAAAAATAGTTATCTTAAAGAGATGAGTAATAAGAAACAAGTATATATTTACCCTTGTAGTCATCATTTCTGTTGCTCTTCCTTCGTTTGAGTTTATCCATATTTCAGTCTGGTATAATTTTTCTTCTATTTGGAGGCTTTTCTTTAGCATTCTTTCAGCTTTTTATGTCTCTTCATTTCACCTTTTTTTTTAATTTTTAAAATTTATTTTAATTGGAGCATAATTACAATATTGTGGTTTCTGCCATACATCAATGTGAGTCAGCCATAGATACACGTGTCCCCCCCATCCTGAACCCTCCTCCCACCTCCCTCCCCACCCAATCCCTCCAGGTTGTCCCAGAACACCATCTTTGGGTGTCCTGCTTCATACATCAAACTCTCACTGATTGTCTCTTTTACATATGGTAATTTATGTGTTTCAGTGCTGTTCTCTCAAATCATCCCACCTTCTCCTTCTCCCACTGAGTCCAAAAGTCTGTTCTTTATGTCTGTGTCTCCTCTGCTGTCCTGTACGTGGAGTCGTTGGTACCATCTTTCTAGATTCCATGTACAGGCTTTAATATATGGTATTTGTCTTTCTCTTTCTGACTTACTTCACTCTAAACAGGCTCTGGATTCATCCACCTCATTAGAACTAACTCAAATGCATTCCTTTTTATAGCTGAATAGTATTCCATTGTGTATATGGACCACAACTTCCTTATCCATTCATCTGCCGATGCACATCTAGGTTGCTTCCATGTCCTAACTATTGTAAATAGTGCTACAGTGAACATTGGGGTACATGCGTCTTTTTAAATTCTGATTTCCTCGGAGTACATGCCCAAGAGTGAGATTGCTGGGTTGTTTAGTATTTTTATTTCTAGTTTTTTAAGGAATCTCCATACTCTTTTCCATAGTGGTTGTGTAAGTTTGCATCAACAGTGTAAGATGGTTCCCTTTTTGCCACACCCTCTCCAGCATTTATTGTTTGTAGCATTTTTGATGATGACCATTTTGACCCATGTGAGATGATGCCTCATTGTGATTTTGATTTGCATTTCTCTAATAATGAGTGATGTTGAGCATCTTTTCTTGTGTTTATTAGCCATCTGTATGTCTTCTTTGGAGAAATGTCTGTTTAGGTCTTTTGCCCACCTTTTGATTAAGTTGTTCAATTTTCTTGTATTGAGCTTCATGAACTGTTCGTATATTTTGGAGATTAATTAGTTGTTTTGTTTGCTATTGCTTTCTCCCGTTCTGAGGGCTGTCTTTTCACCTTGTTTATCGTTTCCTTCGTTGTTCAAATGCTTTTAATTTTAATTAGATACCATTTGTTTATTTTTATTTTTATTTCCATTACTCTGAAGTGAAAAGGATACTTTGACTTGAGATAAGAATTCTAGGTTGACAATTGGAAGTACTTTCAAGATACTGCTACTGTCTTCTTGCTTATGTTGTTTCTGATGAGAAATCTGCTCTTTCCTTTTTTTCTCAGTGCATAAATATCTTTTTTCCCCTCCTGTGGCTGCTATAAATTGTTCTCTTTGTCAGTAGTTTTGAACAGCTTGATTATGATGTGCCTTGATGTGGTTTTCTTGTTTTGTTTTTGTACTAGGAATTCTGTAAGCTCCTTGGATTTTTAGTTTTCACTAAATTTAGTAAACTTTGACCTTTGTGTCTTCTGTCTCCCATTTATTTCAGGGACTCCAATAATATGAATAGTAGGCTATTTGTGGTTGTCCTATATGTCTCCATTGTTTTTTTCTGTTCTGAAATTCTTTTTTTCTGTGTGTTTCATTTTGTATAGAAGTTAGGCATTGGAAACTAATGTTTCAATTTAATTTTTTTCTTTTGCAGTCTAATCTCCATTAATCCTATTCAGTGTAGTTTTTATTTTGACCATTGTAATTTTCACTTGTAGAATTTAAATTCTAATCTGTTTTATGTCTTAGTTGTCTCTTACTTTTCAACCATGTGGAATAAATTTATATTACCTTTCAATGTCCTTGTCTTCTGTTTGTTAAATCTCTGTCAGTACTTTGATTGATAGCTTTTTCTCCTAATTAAGGGTTTTACTTTTTTTCTAGTTTGCAGGTCTGACAGTCTTTAATTGGATAGATATTGAGAATTTTATTTTGTTCCATGGTAGATATTTTTGCATTCATGTAAGTGTCCTTGAGTTTTCTTTTGGGAGACAGTTAACTGAATTGGAAACTGGTCCTTTTGATTCCTGTTGATATATTGCAGAAGCCAACACAATATTGTAAAGCAGTTATCCTCCAATAAAAAAATAAATAAATTTAAATTAAAAAAGGAGTTTTACTTTTTCAATGCTAGATATATTTATATTCCTGGAAGTATTCTTGAATTTTGTTTTGGGACATGGTTAACTTAATTTAAAACTGGTCCTTAATGGACTGAACTGGACTCCTGCCCTTAATGTTTGTTGGGTGGGCCCAGAGCAGCATTTAATCTAGGGTTTATTTCCCATTCATGAAAAAGGACCTTTAATACTCTACCCACTGCTTTCATAATTATGAAGTTTCCTAGTCTGGCTATTGGGACCTATTCCTATTACCAGGAATGCTGGGTGCTGTTCCTCTAATTTTCCTGACTGCAGGTAGTTTCTGGTTATTACTCAAGGGGAACTCTCTACACTTCTCTGGAATTCTTTCACTGCGCAGCTCTCCCCTCTCCTGATGCCTTGGACTCTTAGCTATTTCTCTTTCATTAGGGAGTCCTTCATGCTCTGTGTAGGTTCACCCTCCTTGTATTGTAGTCTCGAATCTTCTGGCAATAAGGCAGAGTTTCTTAGGAGAATTTTGTATATGCCAGGAATCTGACCTTGGCCGGCAATTTATCTTTTCTTTTTTGAGGCTTGCACACTATAGGTTTGATACATCATCTCAGCTGTAAATTAGGTTTTTGTTGTCTAATTGTGGGTTGTCTTTGCAAAAGAGCACGTGGTCACTATTTTTATTCTTCAAATGTAGATAAATGTAATTTTCTGATTATAGTTTATTAGCTTATCAGTAAGTTATCCATTGAATGAGAAGAATTTCTGTAGCTGTGTAGAATTATGACCTGACTATAGTGTTAATTTTTGTTTCTTTTTTTAGAATGAGTATGGGAATATTAGGGGCTTCCCTGATAGCTCAGTTGGTAAAGAATCTGCCTGCGATGTGGGAGACCTGGGTTCATCCCTGGGTTGGGAAGATCCCCTAGAGAAGGGAAAGGCTACCCACTCTAGTATTATGGCCTGGAGAATTCCATGGGGTCCCATGGGGTATAGTCCATGGGGTCCCAAAGATTTGGACATGACTGAGTGACTTTCACTTCACTTGACAGGAATATTAAGTTATGATGAATATTACTTTTATTATTTTTCTCACTGCTGTGGGTCTTTGGTCAGGTATTATAACTGCCATAGGCCATGATGGCATTGTAACACAGTATCTTTAAGTAGTGATTTTTAGGGGAGCATTGAGGCTTTTATATTTATTATTTCTGTTTGTGCTGATTGCTTTGTGAAGGTAATTTGAAATAACATTTGAATCTTCGTGTTGTTATTTACAACAGCTTACTTGTTAATATGTACTTATATTTCATATGCTCTTTGTCTGTCCTGTTCAAACAGAAGTAGTCCAGGGGATGAGTCTATCCACGTCTTGAGTGTTGATGAGAAGAACAAGTTAGGAGCCAAAATTATCAAGGCAGAGATGATGGGCAATATGGTAAGGCTTATATTTTGTTCTTTTGAAGAATAATTACTAAATATTTAACTTCTTACAAGTAAATTTTGGCAGTTCCTAAGCTATGGGGATGTAGCATCTTTTGACAATACTGTTGCTTATTTACTCTTTGAAGAGATTCCTCAGCACTCCTAAGAACAGTATTGTCTACTTCTAAGTAAATTATGTAATTTGTCAAATTTTTGAAATTTATGATTTTAGGGAACTAAATGCTTTTAAATTTTAAATTTAGGGAACTAAATGCTTTTACATTTTAATGAAATTCATATTTCATTAATAATGTGTTACTTTCTTAGGAACTTTAAAATTGAGCTACTAAAAAGAATGGTTAGTTAATTTTTTCAAAATTTTAGGGAACTTATTTGTGCCTGACTGTGTTAGATGCTTTGTGTAGCTCACTTAATTCCTATGATAATGTTGTGATTTGAAACTTAACCTGAGAATTGAGTAGAAATGAAATTATTTGGTAAGAGTGGCATCTGTCTATCTATTATTGTTACATTCCTCTTACACAACTACATGTCACACTGCACATGGCAGAATGGCAAAGTCAGACAGCTTTCTATGTCTTGAAAAAATTGATTCTCTTGTGGTCATATGTATGTACACATCTCAAATCCAAATATAAGTCATCTTAAGTAGTCTTCTGTTTTGGTGCACTATGTGACACTCTGTAGTAAAACAAAAAGTGAACAAACCTGATACTTCTGTTTTTATCAGTTTGTATCTCTAATAAAAATCATATCTTGCATATGCTGCACTCTCTCTCTTTGAATCTAATCTTTGATGACACTGAACTTAAGCTCGACCTGGAAATTAGTGAGACAGACCACCACCAACAGCAAGAAAATAACATTTATGTTTAGAAAGCACAAATAAATTGGTTAAAATAGTGAAAGAAAGGTAACCATGTTAGGAGATTAACATATGTTAAAAGAAGTGTTCTGTGTTCATGGAACCACACTGTCTTTGCTTGTCATAGTATTCTATTCATTTAATTTATTACATTGTGATTTATTGTTTTATATGTAGTATTTATAAATTTTTATAGATTTCCTAGAATAGAAATGAAATGCATTCAGTTTTTATCTAAATTACTTATCAGCAGTAAATAAGGTATTATTTTAAATACTACGATGGCTTTCTTTTTATAAATAATTGAAATTCTGAGCATTGGAAGTTTATAGTATCTAAGGAATTATAAAAATTCCTTTCTTAAGGGTATGTATTTCTTTTATCTATCCCTTCTCTAAAATATATGTCCTTGTAATTATTTACTATCAAAATATAAATAATTTCCATATGTGTTTGAGAATTTTGTAACCCACATGAATTCATTAAAAAGTAATGCATTAGACTGTGAGCTGGTAAGTGAATGTAGTTGTTAGCTACTGGAATGTTTAGGGCTTCCAAGGTGGCTCAGTGGTAAAGAATCCACCTGCCATTGCAAGAGATGCAGCTTTGTTCCCTGGTCCGGGATGATCCCCTGAAGAAGAAAATGGTATCCCACTCCAGTGTTCTTGCCTGGAGAACCCCAAGGACAGAGAGCCTGTCGGGCTACAGTCCAGGGGGTCACAAAGAGTTGGGCATGACTCAATGACTGAACATCATCATCATCATCATGTGAATTTGAAATATTCTACAAATGAATTAAATGATATATCACACCTGTTTTTCTTATCTTTTCTATTTGAAGGAATTAGCTGAACAACTTAAAGCCCAACTTGATAAGGCAAATAAATTCCAAGACACCATAACACAGATGTCATCAAAAAAATCTAGGGTAGAGGTAAGTAATAACAGTTTGATTATAGGTAGCCAATTACCTTGTGTAATACTTCTGCTTTGTAGTGGTACTATTTAATGTTAAATGTGTCTATATCTCTTATTGATGTGCTTGTATATATTTATGCTTGTTTGCTTATTTTTAATATTTACTTTCATATGTATTCTCTTATCTTATACCATTGTGTCCTGATGGACAAAGGCCTAGGTCTAGGGTCAAGGGGGCCTGGTTTTATTCTGGGCTCTGCCATTTACTGACTGACCTTGCACAAGTCAAACTGGTCATTAGCTTCTTTCTGTCCAGAATGAGACACTTGAATTTGGTATCCCTCTCATGTAAAATATTTTGTTCTAGGGTTCGTTCACCTATCTGTTTGTCAATAAAACAGATAAAAAGCGTGTCTTTGTGGAGTATTATTTGAATAGGAAGAGAGAGATAACAAGTGATAAAGATTATAATAAACTGTACAGCATAGTCGAAGGTTATATATCCTAAGCAGGGTAGAGGGAATCTTGAGTGTCAGGTATGCTGTATGTTTATGTGTGTGTGTGCATCTTGGGATGCACAGGCTAATTCTCATTGGGAAAGTGATGCAAGGACTTGAAGGAAGTTAGACAGTGATCTCTGTGTCTCTGAGTGAAGGGCTCTGTGGACATAAGGAACAGAAGATTGGATGTGTGTCCAGTATTTAGACAAAATAGCAAGGAGACCAGTGTTGCTGGAGTGAAATGAGTGAAAGAGAAGTGGAAGATCCAGATTCGAGAGTCTGTGGGAGGCCAGATCATGTTCAGCTTCAAAGTCATAATAAGGAAGTAGGTTTTTATTCTGGGTGAGAAGTAAAACTGTTCAGATTTTTGAGCAGAAAATGTATTTTGACAGAACCATCCTGGCTTTTTGTTAGGAGTAGATTGAAGGAGAATAAGGGCAAACATGGGGTCTAATTAAGCTTTTGCATTAATACACATAAGAAAGAATAGTGAACTTGACTAATATGGTAACTGAAGAGATATTCGAAGTAATTAGGTTTTTTACATGCATAAATGTTTTCCATGTATATTTTGAAGGACTTGATTATTGTGATGGTTTAGATGAGAGAGGAATATGAAATAGTGTTGAGAATCTTTGTATCTCTTGTCATCAAAAATATTTTCTGTTTTGGCAATGTCTTTTCTGGTTTGATTATCAGGGTGATGGTGGCTTTATAGAATGAATTTAGGAGTGTTTCTTGTTCTTCAATCTTTTTGAAGTGTTTGAGAAGGATCACTATAAGTTCTTATTTGTGTATCTGGAAGAATTTCCCAGTGAAACCATCTGGTCCTGGACTTTTTTTTGCAGGGAGGATTTTTATTTTTACAGATTTGATTTCAGTTCTAGTGAAATTCATCAGTCTGTTCCAAATTATCTACTTCTTTTCTGTTCAGTTTTGATAGGCTGTGTGTTTCTAGAAACTTGTCCAATTCTTCTAGGTTGTACACTTTGTTGGCATGTAATTGTTCACAGTATTTTCTTTTGGTACTTTTGTATTCTGCAATATTGGTTGTTATTTCTCCCATTTTATTTCTTCTTTTTTTGGGGTGGGGTCCTCTCTTTTCTTAAAGTTCTTGGCCAGAGATTTGATTTTGTTTATTCTTTCAAAGGACCAGCTCTGAGTTTTATTGGTATTTTTCTATTTTTAAAAAATCCTTTATTTATTTATTCTCTGACCTTTATTATTTCCTTCCTTATCCTATCTTTAGGTTTTGTTGTGTGATTCTTTTACGTGGCAAGTTGCGTTCCTTATTTGTGATTTTTCTTGTTTCTTGAGAAAGGCTTGTATCACTGTGAACTTCTCTGTGCTTTGGCTGCATCTCATAGATTTCCTATGGTTGTGTTTTCATTGTCATTTATCTCAAGATGTTTTTTAACTTCCTCTTGATTTCATCATGACCCTTAGTTTTTAAATAGTATGTTGTTTAGTCTCCATATTATTGTTTTTTTTCCTAGTTCCTCATTCAATATTTGATTTCTAGTTTCATGCGATTGTGGTCAGAAAAGATGCTTGAAATAATTATTGTACTCAAATTTCTTGAAGATTGTTTTGTGTCTTAGTTTATGGTGAATTCTAGAGAGTGTTCTATTCACACTTGAAAAGAATTTTTATTTTTTGTTTTGTTTTTATATAGAGTCCTGAAAACATAAATGACGTTTAACTGTTCTATCATATCGTTTAGAATCTCTGTTGCCTTACTGATTTTCTGTTTGGAAGATCTGTCCATTGATATGAGTTTCGTATTAAGTCTCATACTATTTTTGTATTCCCATCATTTTCTCCCTTTATGTCTGTTAGTATAGGCTTAGTACTTTGGGTGTTCCTGTATTGGTTGCATATATGTTAATGAGTGTAAAGTCCTCTTCTTTTGTAGATCCTTTTATTATTATGTGGGCTTCCCTGGTGACTCAGCTGGTAAAGAACCTGCTTGCAATATAGGAGACCTGGGTTCGATCCCTGGGCTGGGAAGATCTCCTGGAGGAGGGAGAGGCTGCCCACTCCAGTACTCTGGCCTGGAGAATTCCATGGACTGTATAGTCCATGGGGTTGCAGAGTTGGACATGACTGAGCAACTTTCACTTTATTATTATATAGAATTCTTCTTACTTTCTCTTTATATCCATTGCTTTAAAGTCTATTTTGTACGAGAAGAGTATTGGTACCCCCTTTCTTGTGGTTATGTTTGCACAAGCTGTTGTTCTCCAACCCATCATATTCAATCTGTGTATGTCTTTTGCCCTAAAGTTGGTTTCTGCAGGTAGTTTATTGTAGGCTCTTCTTTTATCATCTCATCAGCCTTTCTGTGTCTTTTTTTTTTAATCTTTCTATTGAAGGATAATTGCTTTACAGAATTTTGCTGTTTTCTGTCAAACCTCAGCATGTATCAGCCATAGGTATACATATATCCCCTCTCTTTTGAACCTCCCTCCCATCTCACTCCCCATCCCACCCTCTAGGTTGAAACAGAACCCCTGTTTGAGTTTCCTGAGCCATATGGCAAATTCCCTTCGGCTATCTGTTTTACGTATGGTAATGTAAGTTTCCATGTTACTCTTTCCATACATCTCACCCTCTCCTCCCCTCTCCCCATGTCCATAAGTCTATTCTCTATGTCTGTTTCTCCATTGCTGCCCTTTAAATAAATTCTTCAGTATCATTTTTCTAGGTTCCATATATATGCATTAGAATACAATATTTATCCTTCTCTTTCAGATTCACTTCACTCTGTATAATAGGTTCTGGGTTCATCCACTTCATCAGAACTGACTCAAATGTGTTCCTTTTTATGGCTGAGTAATATTCCATTGTGTATATGTACCACAACTTCTTTATCCATTCATCTGTTGATGGACATCTAGGTTGCTTCCATGTTCTAGCTGTTGTACATGGTGCTGCAGTGAACAATGGGACACATGTGTCTTTTTCAATTTTGGTTTCCTCAGGGTATATGCCTAGGAGTGGTATTACTGGGTCATATGATGATTTTATTCCTAGTTTTTTAAGGAATCTCCATAACATCTTCCATAGTGGATGCCTCAATTTACATTCCCACCAACAGTGCAAGAGCATTCCCTTTTCTCCACACCCTCTCCAGCATTTATTGTTTGTAGAATTTTTGGTGGTGGCTATTCTGACCAGTGTGAGGTGATATCTCATTATGGTTTGATTTGCATTTCTCTAATAATGAGCAATGTTGAACATCTTTCCATGTGTTTGTTAGCCATTTGTATGTCTTCTTTGGAGAAATGTCTGTTTAGGTCTTTTTCCACTTTTTGATTGGGTTTTTTTTTTTTTCTAGCATTGAGTTGTATGAGCTGCTTGTATATTTTGGAAATTAATCCTTTGTCAATTGTTTCCTTTGCTGTTATTTTCTCCCATTCTGAGGGTTTTTTTTTTTTTTCACCTTGCTTATAGTTTCCTTTGTGGAACAAAAGCTTTTAAGTTTAATCAGGTCCCGTTTATTTACTTTTGTTTTTATTGCCATTACTCTGGGAGGTGGGTCATAGAGGATCTTGCTTTGATTTATGTCATTGAGAGTTCTGCTTATGTTTTTCTATAAGAGTTTTATAGTTTCTGGTCTTACATTTAGATCTTTAATCCATTTTGAATTTATCTTTGTATATGGTGTTAGGAAGTGTTCTAATTTCGTCCTTTTACATATAGCTGTGCAGTTTTCCCAGCACCATTATCTGAAGAGGCTGTCTTTGCCCCATTGTATATTCTTGACTCCTTTGTCAAAAATAAGGTACGCATAGGTGCAAGGGTTTATTTCTGGGCTTTCTGTCTTGTTCCATTGGTCTGTATTTTTGTGCCAGTACCGTACCATTGATGACTGTAGCTTTGTGGTACAATTGGAAGTCAGGCAGGTTGATTCCGCAATCTCCACTCTTCTTTCTCAAGACTGCTTTGGCTATTTGGGGTCTTTTGTGTTTCCATATGAATTAGGAAATTTTTTGTTCTAGTTCTGTGAAAAATGTCATTGGTAATTTGATAGGGAGTGCATTGAATCTGTAGATTGCATTTGTAGTATAGTCATTTTCAGAATATTGATTCTTCCTACCCAGAAACATGGACTATCTCTCCATCTGTTTGTGTCATCTTTGATTTCTTTCATTAGTGTCTTATAATTTTCTGTGTACAGCTCTTTTGTCTCCTTATGTAAGTTTATTCCTAGATGTTTAATTCTTTTTGTTGCAGTGTTGAATGGGATTAATTCTTTAATTTCTCTTCCTGATTTTTCATTAATATATAGAAATGCAAGTGATTTTTGTCTATTGATTTTGTATCCTGCAACTTTGCTAAATTCACTGATTAGCTCTAGCAATTTTCTGATACTATCTTTAGGGTTCTCTGTGTACAGTATCATGTGATGTACAAACAGTGAGAGCTTTGCTTTTTCATTTCTGATCTCAATTCATTTTATTTCTTTTTCTTCTCTGATTGCTGTAGCTAGGACTTCCAAAACTGTGTTAAT